TTAAAATTACATTTGTTTTCGATAATATTAATACAATGTATCTATTCATGAGGTATTTATATATAGGCAACTCATCTTGCATGCAACATTTGTAAAATTATTAGAGTGGTGCCTATGTTAAGATATTATAAAACTTAAAATAAGTTAAACATATTTGTGTTTTGGCTTCATTCTCTAAGCAAGTAAACATAAGTGTGTGTAGATACTTGCCTTATAATAATTTATAAATTGGTATAATATGATGCAAGTATACCTACATATTTAAGTACAAGTATCAAGTCATGATTATGGTTTATACATATAACTATCAGAATTGTGAGGTATGTGTTTATTGTGTTTACTAGAATTTATTTTGAACAATTTCATTATACCCCAGAATCAATTAAAGTTTGAAACTACAGAAAAATTAATTTAGAAGTTTTAAATAGTATTCATAAATTAGTTACGTATATAGTAAAACTAGAAAACCAAATGTTTATTTTGAAATAGTTATAATATTATATTATACATACAACATACTAATCTTCTGTTTTCTAAATATTTTTTTAATCATAGTTAAGTTAAGTTAGCCGTTTGGTAATACATTTTTTTTTAAATACCTATGTATTGTTATAATATAAAATAAGCATATAATTTTTATTACTTTTTTGAACTACAGCATAGATTTTTTAATTTAATACACCTAAACATCATATTTTTATGATATTTTTTATTTAGATATCCAAAAAATACAATAAGGTTTAAAGCATATTATATATTATAAAATAATTCACAGTACATTAATAATAAACTTTTATAATATAATATTAGTCTAATATTTAATGAATCTATGTTTATCAAAATTTACGGTGAAGCATATTATTATCTTATTGTACTTATGATATTATTTAAATATTCAGAAACGCCTGGCAAGAGATAGATAATTAGATAATTAATTATTTTTTTTTATGCAAGTCATCAACACCAAATCACGCAGCTAGTGTTTAAACCAATTATTTAGGTTTGATACTTCAAAATACGTATGATACGAAGTACAAACAATACATAAATAATAAAAATCAACTGATTTGTATACAATTATTATTGACATTGGAACATCAGTTAACTAAAAAATAACTACGTTCAATATTAAGATTTACATCATACTAATAATTATAATGGCAAGTGAATGATTGTTTATACTATATTCTATTAATCGTTTTTTGATTTTAAGACCACGTGTAGATAAATGTAAACATAATATTTAATTAATTTGAGTTAGTATTCTATTTATAATAATTAATAAGACTACTTTATTTTTATTTTTATTATTTATTCATTGAATATATTATGGCTATGAATCAGTAACGGCTAGTTAAGTATTTATTTATAGAATGTGATGACGATTTTAGATATAACTAAATATCTCAACTGCATTGGATTGAACATTTTCAATTGACAACACCTATATTTTTACTTTTTCGGTTGGATTCATTTTTTTTTAAAATTATATTCATTTAAAGTTTTTTTTCTATTTACAAAATGACTATGTTACAATACATTCAAACTTCGATTTATGAATAATTCATTTTAATTTAGAACTACTAGAAATAAAAAAATAAGTGCTAAATAATTATTATTGTTTTAATTGTATTTAGTCAACTGAATTAATTAATAACAATAATAATGATGATATTAGTAGTAGTTAATTATACAGAATGTAATTTTTTAAATCAAATTAACGTATGAATTGTTTAAAGTTTTCCCGTTATGTTCTAAACATGATTCAAGTCACCTTAAAAATCAGTCAAAGTTACGGCTTTGATTTGTTCCATCTTAAAATATTACATGTTATTTGTATTTTGTTTTTAAGTTCTTGGGATAGATAGGTGGATCTGCATTTTACATAATTCATAGTTTTGAGATGTCTCCATAAAAAAATTCTATAACGTTAAATCTAGGAACTGTTCCAGTACAAAAGCAACGCTACTAGTTCCAATCCAGCGGCTTGGATCACATTTGATTTATATGCTGTCTAATAATTATTGCATTGTGGGATGATACACAATTTTGTTAAAAGAACAAATGTTCTCGTGTGCAGTGGCGTAAACTGGGTGGTGCAAATGCAGCACTTGCTATCAACGGTGGAAAATCACGCCGATACTGGAGCTGAATCGGCGATAGAGACAGATGGCGAAAGGTGGAGGGAAGTTGTTGGCAGAAAAACAACCTCAGCTCCTTCAAGTGGAAGGGCAATGGGCCTCTCTATACCTCTGAGGACTGGGGCGAAGCTCAGGGCTAAGCCCCCGGCGGTTCTAGTCAAGGTGGCTGTCGGCTCGTCATACGCGAACACCGTTCGTGCAGTAAGAAATAACAGAGAGTTGAACTTGGTTGAGCTGGGAACTCAGGTTACTGGCATGCGCAAAACCAGGGATGGGCATTTGCTGGTCGAGCTAGCCAAAGGTGCGGGATCTGTAGTAGCAGCCCAGAAGTTGTTGTCGGCCATAGCCACCAGGTTGGGTGATGCGGTCGGAGGAGTGTCATAGCTTGGTCAGTTTACTGTTGTTGAGATTGTTGACCTTGACGCAGTGACGACCGAGGACGAGGTTCTTTCGGCATTGCGGGCGGCAATACCCAGATCCGAACACGATCAAGCTGCAATCTGCGAACGACAGGTTATTCAGATCACCGGCTTTTGGCCCATCAGGTCCGGGCAGCAAATTGCTACCGCCAGAATGATGAGAGCTTCTGAATCTACTGTAACCCGCGTCCTTATTGGATGGACAATGTGCCGCGTTCGCCCTAGGCGTCCTGAACCCGAAAAGTTCTTTCGATGCCACGGATTCGGTCATCGGAGTGATAATTGCTCCGGGCCCGACTTATCGTTGAATTGCAGACGCTGTGGAGAACTAGGACACGAACTTAAATCATGTTTGGCGGACAAAGACCGATGTGTTGCGTGTGAGAGAGCTGGCATTGAACGGTTTGCACATAAGCCAGGTTCAGGAATGTGCAAGGAAGGAGGCGTTCAAGATACCAGCTGGGTACAATTCTCAAACGCAGTCTCGGTGGGTAGCCAGCGGAGATGGAGCACGTACGATGCAATGATTCGCTGCTTGCAAATCAACCTCCACACCGACTGGGCTGCCCAACAGCTACTTTTTCGAACCCTGTCGAACATGGACATCGGTTTCCTCATTCTCAGCGAGCACAACATATCCCCATGTAATCACCCCAGCTGGGCATCCAGTTCAGACGGGAGGTGCTCAATAGCACTGACTACCATCGCGGGCACTGTGGCGGAGGAATCCGGTTCAAAGGTATGTTTTTGCACCACCAGAAAATCATTGAAATATATAATATATAAACAGGAACGTCGTTTCAACTTAAAATAAATAAAAAGAAATTGTTGATTGTTTTTTTTATTAATATTATAATAATAAAAGTTTTACTGCTAAAATAATTCAAAATGTATTTATTATTTAAAGAAATATATGGAAAAATATATAGTTTATTAGGAAGGATTTTGCTTAGAAACTTAGATTACTGATGTGTTGAAAATTATAGGTTGAGAATATGCCCCTGTACCACCAGAAATTGAATCCAATTTACGCCACTGCTTGTGTGTCTAATGGAATATCATTCAACAGTATTGGTAGTTTATTGCTAATCGTTAGATAAACAATTTAAACATCGTCTACCAATAAGCGTTTTATCTTGAAAGTATATGGTCTTACAAGCTTTCCACCGACTATCTTATCACTGTATATTAATTTCTCAGACCGTTAGAAAATAAGTATCATGTGATCAGCATGAGTTAGTATCATACCAGTATCGATGATTTTGTTTATTCATCATACTATTTTTTTGTAAATTTTGGTCCATCAGTCCAAAGAATGTGATTGGAAATTAATGGGTTATAATAAAATTAAATACTACCTAAATCATATTATAAATTCCAACCTGCTGATAGAATTTTTTGAATGTAAATATCGGACAAAATCAACTTTTTATCACTATATGAATGCATTTTATGGTTTTTTTAAAACATTTTTTAGAAAAATCCATATGAAATTGATAAAATAAATATATTAAAGTTTTAAACACTGATTTAACACTTATTTTATTATTTTTAGTGGTAATTAAAATTTTGTTATAAACAAATTATGCATGAATACACTTTTGAATTTACTTTAACATGGTTAAGTTAGTAAATTGAAAAAAACTTTTTATACGAAAATAGTTTTAAAAAAAAATTAACCCATCAAAAAATATAGAAAAATAATAAATGTAAACGTTTTAAAAATATTAAGATGTTTTGGTTAACAATTTGAAATGTTCTAAAAATATGTTAGGTACTCTCTTTCACCTTCTAAAAAACCCACTTCAATTCAAGGTCATTCAGCTTAGATATAGAATCGTAATCACACTGTACGTATTACACCTATGTTTTCTTATACTATTTTATAAATAATGATGATTGTCTGTTTATTTGCTGTTATATATATATATATACATTTATGTACTTTGTTTTTTGCAGATTTTGCATTTTAATAATTTATCTATATTTACCTGTAAAAAAAACCTGTTTATTTAAACTTTCATGATGCTTTATAGCTATGCGATTTTAAACGTCAAGTAATGTGATTAAAAACGATCATATGATACACCATGAACAGTATATATTTTGAGCATAAAAAACACAGAAACCGATTCTTCAATCGTATCTATACACAAGTATTTAAGCAAGACATTATGTTTTTTTTTTTTGGCATTCATCAAAAAATAAAAAGTACCGTTAGTAATAAGTAATAACTAATAATAATACATTATCGTACAAACAATAAAAGTGTGATATCTTGATAAAATAATTAATTATATTTTTAATGCGTAAAGATAAAAATAAGAATTACTATTACGATAATCGACATTCTATTTATACAGCTGTGATGTTCCCCCTTCTCGAGACTGATTAGAACGACATTGTTTATCTATATTAGTATTATACGAGTATACGTTATACGATGTATATAGTTGTGCGTAGAACGTTGCCGCGCTTATAACCGCGTCGTCGCGTGTAATTATAACATTAATACTAGCTGTTGAGCCCGATTAGGACATATACCAGGTCCAACTTGGTGTATTTTCTTAAAAGAGTCATTTTTGTTTTCGAATATTTACCACGTGAAAATTTGTGCGCGAAAAAGCGCATAATGTTATAATAGCAACACATTATTATAACATTATTGGTTCATCCAGATAAATATTCATCAATTTATCACGCATTTTTTAATATGATGGTTTTAAGTATGTATTGAGTATATTTAAATATTTAAATCTTACAGAAAGAATTACAAGTGATGCGATCGATTTGTATTATTATATTAGATTATTATCTGCAATGCAGTGGACATAACATTATAGTACAAAAATCACAAAATATACAGTATTAAAGCATTTAACTTATTTTTTCTGTTTAATTATTAATAAAAAAATAAAATAGCATCAAAAATAAGAATGCAATTAAACAAGGAGTGAGAAATACCTGAGCGGTATACGAATGTACATTTAAATACTCAATCGGTCATTAATGACTGCAGCTGTGTGAAGGCTATCAAAAAATTAAATTTTGATAAACAAAGTTTTGAGGAAAATATTAAAAGAAAAAGTTGTATGGTTCATAAACCAAAAAAATGTAAAAATGTAAAATAATAAATTACATGTTTGTCTTTGTCGTTACATGAAATGCATTTTTTCTATATGATATTTTTTTTTAGTAACACAAAATAAATACTAAAAGTTCTTTGTTTTAATTATCAGTCTCAATAAAAACGATAGTGGTTAATATCATTGTTATTATTACTAATTTACTTCAAATGATAGAAATGTTTACTTATGTATAATTTTTTTAAAGTAGACACTACTTAAACGTATTCGATTAATATAATATTTCCGTATTCTATAAATATTATTATGAATTAGTGAAAGTACTTTAATAATATTATGTATGTACACGTTTTTTTCTTAAACGACGTTATAATTATATTTTTCAGATATTAAATTTAATATAATGTAAGTAATATCTTTATCTGCGTGGAATAATAAATTGTACCTATAATTCTTTAACAAATTACGAAGTACTAATATAACCCTACGAATTATAAAAAATGGAAATAAGGACGATAACATACTTGTTATCTATTATTGTTGTGTAATTTCGTAGAAAACGGAATGAAATGGTTGGTATATTCATTAAATACATCATAATTTATATTTATAAATGATTGTACCTCTCTTAATTTTCACACCTTCAATTCATTTTTGTGTCAGTTATTAATTTTAATCGAATTAATGTATTTAACTATGGCGAAAACATTCGACAATATTATTGAGAGGAGTTTCTAGAATATAAAGGCTTATACGAAATTGTTATTATTAAAAAACATGGAGTAACAACTTTTACTATGTGATTTAAATATTTTATTAATTGTTATATCAAGTAAATTCTCATTTTATTTTCATTTTTATGAGAATATTTTCAGATTTTTGCTAATAAAATGCATTATTAAACTATTCAAAGGTCTGACTGGTTGTAGGGGAGGTAATAATAAAAAAATGTATATTAATTTACATGAGATTCAGATACAGAGTGTAGAATCATTTTTTTTTTTTATCTTTTGGATTTTAGAACTATAGTCTCATTTACAAAATATTTGTGTAACTGAAATGTTACACTATTAAAAACAAATCATCATTGTATGCAAATTTATTTTATAGGTTTATGTAATAAAATCTAAATATAATTTGTTCTTAACAAAGTAGTCTGTTATTTTTCTACTTTAAAAGCATATTATTTAATATTGTAAAATATTGTCATAACATATATTAAAGTGCAGTTATAGTTAATTTATTATTTTTATAAATACTGCATTTAATTATTATAATTATGTCTAAATTATAAATTTAATATAAGATATTAAAAATGTTCTATAGTTGTACTAAAAAATAATTATCAAGTATTAAAATAAAAAAAGAATTTGTAGTAAAATAAAATAAAAATTCAACGTCAAATAAAATTAATAAAGTCACATTAAAATATAATTCAAAAATGTTAAAAATACAAAAATTCATGTTCACCTATCAGGAATACGGCTGGGAATTATTATCTCTCTAGAAGTGTGTCGACTGTATTTAGCAACTACTATATTTGCTCGAGGCGCAAATTGTAATTATGGTTATATTCTTTTATATTTTATGAGTCTATTGTATATAAATATATATATGTATTATATTATATGACCATGAATACTTATATATATATTTATATATATGATAACAAGATATCTGGACTTCATCACGATTAAAGATAAAATATTTTTAATTATGGACTCCATTGATAAAAAAAAAATAAAATAAATTAAATATTTAGTAATTTTATATAATTTATTAAATTGACCAATTATTATGTAAGCCAGTCTAACTCATGGAGGGGGAGCGGTTGCACTCATTGTCCTTCCTGTTCATAAAGACACCCCTGAAGCTATTTTAACTATCTAGTTATCATAACTATTGTTATTAAAATTATTGCTCCCTTCAAAATTTTATTTTTTATTTGAATTAAATCTCTTTTGATTTTTTGTTATTACATCATAATAATATTATTATCATGAAAATAAATAGGTATATATATATATATAAAAAATATTTGCGTACATAATACATTAAACTAATATTTATTACCATATATTCTCGTATTAATTGATTATTTGACTCAGTTTTGTAAATTATAATAATTCATTAATTAATATTATATACAATCTAAATAAGAGAAGAAAATTATATCAATGAATATATAAAATGCATAAAAACTATTATTTTATATCTGTGAAACGACTGAACAATTTTTATCATGGAATATTGATTATATAATTTATCGACTTAAAATCTGAAGTAACTACACCTGATATTTATTTGTCAGTTCGTGGTTTAGTTATTATTTATTTAGTTTCTTCTGTTTATTGTAGATTGAAGGATTTGTAAATATATTATAGTATAATAATTTTATTTTATTTTTTTTGTAGCATCGCACACTACGGTCACAACGTTTCTTGTGTGGATCTTGTGCTTTTCAAGCACGCAGTGTGTCACCATCAAAAATCACCAGAAAATCGGCAAATGTACTTTTATTGTCCATCCCGTATGTCCCGACCCTTCGATTAATCTTTATTTGTACACCAGGTGATTATTATCATTATAAGCAATGAAATTAATTATTGTGAACAACACGAGTAATATTCCCAAATTTTAGTAGCCAGAAACGTTAGCAGAATTTTAGGAGAGGATTAACTTTAAGATTCAGAGCTAAGCTATAAATACAATGGTATAATAAAGAGGCATGGTTTTTTAAATTTAATTTATATTTTTTATTTTACATCTGTCATCAATTTTTAGAACAGAAAAATAATGCATCAATCTTCATTGTTAAGGGGGTTTCTTATAACAAATTGGATCTAGTTAATATTTTGGAGATAAAAGGTAAACAATTTCTAGTGCTTTCAATACAATTGTAAAAAAGCTAATAAAACATAATAAACTGTAGTAAAAAAAATATAACAACACTTTTTGATAAAAAATAACACGAATAATTGTAAGAAATATTATATAATTAAAAAATGAGTACATATTACATATAAATATGGCATACATTTTAAAATATTTTACATTTTTGCAAATATATATATATATATATATTTATTTTGATTTTGATTTTCTCGATAGGCTGTGTATTGAAAAGATAATTTATTTTATGGCACGAAGATATAGCAATTCTAATTAAATTTAAAACCGTAATGATTATGTATACATATATGCAAACAATAAGTTTAATTTTTGCGTTACACCAAATTATCATGACAATATATAATTACAAAGTAATATACGTTTAATCAGTTAATGAATGCATTTTTTCTGGCAGAGAGAACCGAAACAATCCTCAATTGGTCACGATTGAAAATATTACAGAGTCATACTACGTGAAGACTCTTGCAAATAAGTTCATCTTACACGGATTTAACAGTAATATGAAGCTGGGTGTACTTCAAAACATCAAAGACGGTAAATATTTTGTTTTTTTCTTAAATAAAATTGTATTTGATTTAAATTCATATTGATTTAACAAGCATACTAAAGCATAACACACAATTTTAAAAAAGTAACTCCAGTGTCTCACATCACTTAATCACTTTTAAAATAATAATACAAATAATCAAACCACACAATATTGTGTATAATAATAATATGTACTCATAAACTGCACACACACTTCTGGCATCAAACAGATGAGTCAATAATACTTGATAAGTATAGATAATAGATATATAAGATAGCATAATACGTATATACAAGATATCTAAATTGCTATATACAATAAATTCATATAAAATTTGGATTACATTCGTTGCATATTATTATAACTAAAATAAAAGTAATATAATTTCACCACGCTCCACGCTCTACGATCACTATTATTAATTATTATAAAAATAATTCATAAATTAATTGTTAAGTCGATAAACTTCATCAACTGTTTGATAATATTAATTTTATCTAAAGTGTTATTAGCTTTATTTTTGGGCAATGAATTTAGATAAGGTGGCTTAGTTTGTGATTAAATCTGCGTTTTAGTTTTCTAATTTCAGAATTTGAGAATGAACCCCCCTCACATGAATTTTATTCGTTAATTAGTTGTTTATATCAGTTATTTAAGTTCTTGTATATGTTGTACTAGGATACGTGATTCGTAATTATTTCAATAGTACTTAAAAAGTAATTGAATTGTATAATCCGAGTTGAGTTATTATATTATTTTTACATTTGCATCAATATTTAAACAATAACAAGTACCAAGTAATTCAATTCTGTAATCTGAGTTGAGTCATTATATTATTTTTACACTTACATCAATATTGAAACAATAACGAGTGTTGAAACGTATGATTATGATATAATATCTTCAAAAAAGTTTTCTACATAAGACTCTTAATTAAATTTGATGAGAGATTCCTCTCAAATAAGTAACAAAGCAAGCCTTTTGATAATCACGCTATTACAGTTATAATCTAAAATATCAATCATAATATTAAAATCACTTGAACTTAACAGGAGATAGATATATTGCTATCGGAATTTTTTATACTTGATAAACTTATTTTTACTTAAATAGTCATATGAAATCATGGTTATTTGAGTTGCTTATCAATTAATATTAAATAAAAAAAAAGTCAGGTGTGTCTCGATAACTATCACTAATGTAATGATCACTAATGCATGTATACTAGATAGCAAATTATTTTACTATTTAAATAAATTTCTATGTATATTAATAATCATGTTCAAATTGTTAAAAAAAAAAAAAAATGTACCATTGTAAATATCAATAGATGTAGATAGTCAAGGCTAGGAAAATCTTATTTTATCTTAAAATAAAAAAAATAATATGATTTATAAATAACTATTAGTATATTTATTTAATTATTTAAAAAAATAGGTTTAATTATAAGTATAATGTTTATTATTGCGCACTGACTATTGAGTTAAGCTTAATTATTTTTTAATCAATGAGATTTCTTCAAATAACTTTGTATTTTTTAAATAAGATAATATAATAATATATTTTACTATCAAACACTTAGCTTATCTAAAATATGATTGGTTTTTGAATCTTAAAATTTAAATTAACAAAAATTATTTTAAAGTTCTTTTAAGAATTATACCAACGTAAATACATATTTTATTTGAATTTTTGATATAAGTTTTATAAAATTGTTAACATTTCATACTTCATAAAACAATCAGTACTATTAAACTGATTGACGTTGATGGATTTGAAAGTTGTGTTTAAAAATTAATGATTTTGATTAGAGTTGAATTCATATATTTAAATAAATCTGTAAAAATGTAATAGTATATATTTTTATATAATATAATATACACGTGTGTGTACGTATTAGAAATTTATTTCAGTTTTAAAGAAATCTATTTAAGAATGACATTACAATAACTATTAGAATTTTGCGAATTTATTATGATAAAACAGAAAGTTATTTCTACTCAAAACACTATTATTAAAATAGAACAATGCGCGTAATCAGTTAACTAAATTGAATTTGGCTTATCGTGATGTGTATTACACTAATACTACACAGTACATACGCGTTTATTACTGTGTTTTGAAATATATGAATTGTAGAAGGTTCATTGCAATCAATTGGTTTTATAATGTCACATATCATCGTTTAAAAATTATGACAGTAGATTGAAGTTTTTCTAACCTTATAGGAAGCACAAAAAACTACTCTGTTTTTAGGAATATTGAAAGTTTTTAGTGACCCCGCTGAACTGTTATCAAAATTCTAAAACGTGTGTATTGCGGTTTTTTGTAAAGTATTTTTTACCAAAAATTCATTTTTAATAACAATTTATTAAAACGGAATTGGTAGTATAATATTCACGATATAGATATAGGATATTAAATCCAAGGTTAGTCGTTCATATCATTTTTACTGAAATAAATTGTTGCTAAAATATGCATGCGATTGGATTCGATAATGTAATATTCAAACTTAAGATATTTAATAAATAATTGTTATCAAAAATATTATTTTTTTCTCTAAAGACTCATGAGCTTGGTCTTGCGCTAGTCTTATATTTGTACTTTAGATAAGCTATGATGAAAAACGATTTTTAGATAGGATATGATGACATTTTGATTTTTTGAATTGAAATATCGTCCTAACCTAAAAATTATTAACATTAAGTCTCGCGCGTTTTAAAAACTTGAATCCATTGACATAAAATATAAATTTAAATTTTTTAAGATTAGCCATGATAGTTTTTAAACGACAATATTTTATATTTATATTGTTGAAAACTATTCAAATTAAATAGAGATAACTTTGTAGTAACACTGATAGCAAATAAGCACAAATCGACATAATATCAGTTGCTTTTATTGGAATTTGTTATCATTAATATTTAAAATACGTTAAAAATAAAAACGATTCGTATTGTTTTTAAAATATTTTTGGGTTGTAATAATTTATAAAACACAAAACAGTGTTTTTACTTTCATAATTGTAGTAGACCCATTTAAATTTATTCGTTCTGTTTAATATGTGACATAATTAAATGTTTTGATGAAATCTGTTCTAAACGAATATAATGTTAATTTTATTTGTACTCGTCGAACTTATACAGATTTTTTGTTCCCAAAAATGTCATCATGATTGTGAATTATTCAATATTAGCACTGGAATTACTTCTGACAATCAGTTTAAGCCCATATAAATTTTAATAGTTTTATAGAAGTGTTTAGTAATTTTTTTCAACTAGTTTTATGTATTTAATATTAATTGATTAGCTTAAATAATTTTTAAAATATATACGAAAAAAACAAATATATTTATAATATGTATAATTTAAATTTTAAAAAACTACAAAGATACATAACTCTTCATATTTAGTAGCGTACAGTATACAATATGATAATACAATTATATATTATTAATTTTTTTTTTATTTACTAATGATTTTGCATTAATATAGTATGATAATAATTAAATTATATACTATATATTATACTTAATATCTATTTAGTTTTTAAAAAATATTGCAAGGAATTTGTACTTTATTTTTTGAGTGTAAGCTAATTAAATTATATAATTGTTAATATTTATAATATGCAACGGTAAAGTTTGTATACTCAATGAATTTAGCTACTAAAGCGAGAATTTAGTCGAATTATTTATTATAATATTATATTTTGATACGAATTATAGATGCACACTAATTGATGATAATTTGAAACGTTTTAAACTAAAATCAGATTTATAAATTTAAATTCACATTTCTAATGCAACTAATATTGTTTCAACACTTTATTGAATATAGTTTTCAATGATTCAATAAATTAAAAATGTTGAAACTTAATATATGTCTTGAATATTGTGTTCGTGTAAATAAAATTGCAGTTATCGAATGATAAGTTGTTGTGTTAATGGATTGGGCGTAACGGACTTGTTGAATACCTCACCATATTATTTTACTTGTCGAATAAATAATTACTGTTTTTTTAGATATATTTATAATTAGTAGTTTGACATAACGTCAAATTTATACTTTTATTATAAATGAAATTTTAATTAAAATAAACAAATTATTGTTATAATATGCGCAATGCAGCCATGAATAAAATTAAAAATTAAAAATCGTAAATATGTAGTGTTTTTGAACACAGCAATGTACCTATTTTACATATACAGAGCGCCGTATTATAATTATGTAAAAACAAACTTTTATAATATTTTTATGATAAATCATTGTATTCAAAATTAATATTGAGTTCTGAGTTTGATCTACCAATATTGGATGTATTTTAAATTTTCATTTATAATATAATAAAATCTCTAAGCTTTTTTAATATTAGCTCATGTTCTATACATTTTTGGGAAGTTTTTTCTTAACAAGAATTTGAATAAATTCTCAACCACTTGACTTTTTTGTATTATTACCGAAATGAAAGTACTACATATCAGTGTTAGGTTTTAATAACATTGATTAGTTAGATGTTTTAAAATTAATATTGATAAAAAAAACCTCATCTAATAATAATACTACTAATATTTGTAAAATTAGGACACGTGTTGTCTCTCTTAATTCTTTTTATCAGTGTGTGTTATTTTGGTATTATATTACGAAACATGATTTATCATTGTGAGACGATGTTTATTTTTTATTTTTGTCTACAGAATACCTAATGCACTCAGACATCAACGTCTGGATGATCGATTACAGTGACGTTTCGGCCGGTCCCAGTGAGTGTTATTTGGCTGCGGTGTACAACCTGCCAGCTGTGGGAAAGTGCGCTGCCCAGTTCGTTCGTAAAATCATTGAACTGTCTGATGTGGAAATGCCCGAAGACGTGATGCACGTGATTGGATTCAGTCTAGGGGGCCAGTTGGCCAATCAACTGGCCATAAACCTGAAGCCCATCAAGTTACCAAGGATCACGGGTGAGCGACTGCATATAATATAATTAAAACTATTGCGACGATCATTTTTATACATGGTTGATATAGAGTTTCATGTACAGAAATCAAGTGAGTAGAATCAAATACGTGATTTGCATTTTATGAATTCGGAATTTTTAAGGGTACTCATCTTAATATCAACTGCACACGGTGACAAATAAATTAACTTACACAGTGTCCAAAATTCCAGAATACCTCATTACATTTATATAACTACTCATAGTGTACACACACACACACACACACGATGTTTACGGGCATTTAAAAAACTGTCAGTTATTAAATATATATTAATGTGATAAGTCCAATAGAAAATTTATCACTGCTAATAATCGATAATAATTAATAATGATAATAATAAGCTAAAGTGAGGAACGCTACAGTATTAGAACAGGTTAATCAATTTCGCATCATCAAACGTACACAATATTATATAATTGGCTATGCTAGTATACTTATTCAAGATTATTAAATCAATGTACTTATGTGTATGGGTGCGTTTATGTGTGAAAGTTTCGTGGATGGGTCACTGTGGGTCATTTTTGCGGCATAAAAAAAAATGCCTATCGTTACGCACGAATACGTTCGATTTATATTATCTAAAATCTTAAACAACAAATATAGTAATCAATGTATAGTTATTTACTTTCAGGACTAGATCCGGCTCTGCCTTTGTTCTACAGCACGCACCTTAATAGTAAACTGAATCGAAACGACGCCGAATTCGTTGACGTGATACATACGAACGCGTTAATTCAGGGTCAGCTGGCGCCATGCGGTGACGTAGACTTCTATGTCAACGGTGGATTAGCGCAACCTGGCTGCCACAACATTTCAAGTGCGTATATACTGTATATTATGTGCTAAGAGAATGATTTATTAAAGTTTTTTAATAAGGGCTTTATGCTAAGACAATATTATTTTGAATCTCTTAGCATCTTTAGTAATGGTGTTTTGATTTGGGAAAATAATTTTTTTAAAAATACATTTTAGAATAAAATTTGAAATACTTTAGTATTAATAATATAATATTGTACTATTAAGATATTATTAATATATTTTGTTTATAAAATTCATATTTCAAAAAAAAAAAAAAATAATTTATAATAATAATTTATAATAGATAACCTATTATAAATTAAAATAATGACTAAAAAAAAAAAAATAACTCGTTAAAAAATATTCAAAACAAAATTGTATTTAAAAGTTTAATGACAATATGGCCGTGTTGCAATAATGTTGTATAAACATCAGCCCATAAAATAGCGAACAAGGTTACTAAATATAATCATGTCGTAATATCGTAAATTTATTTTGTTTTATTTTTGGTATATTGTATTAGACCCGATCAATTGTGATCATCACATGGCTCCAACTTATTTTGCCGAGAGCATCAGATCGGTGTCAGGATTTTGGTCATGGCCGTGTCCGAGTGTGTTCGATTACTTTTCTGGCAAATGTCCCCGTCAAGGTGACCACAAGCTGATGGGAGAGTGTGTGGACCACAGGTGAGCTCATTGTAATTTTCACGTTACACTATTTTGTGATTTATATTAATTTTATAAAAGTATATCAATAACAATTATCAATCGGTTTTGTGTTTTACCCACGTATAAAATCATAGTGTAGTTGTTATAATATACTTTAGTATGATATATTGTTGAAAATTTCACGTCCCACAGCAGACAGTATATGTATAAATTAAACCATGAGAGTTAACAATCACAGAGTAGCTTTAAATACTATGCTAGATACTTATTAAGAACTTGCAATTAATTGTTTTGAAACAATTCAAACTATTCGAAAAAATAATGTTGTTTTCGAAATAATCATAGCCAACAATTTTAATGGTTTTGTAATAAACATTTTAAGTGAATCGATTTATTCATATATATATATATATTAGTACCGTAGAATTAAGAGGTTATTACATCACGGTAAAATATTATAATAATAATTTCACACCTGACGACTGAGCAAATCGATATTATAATGTTATATTTAATTTTGATTAAATTTTCTACAGTACGAAAATCGCTTTATTCAACTTGATACTTGATTATTAAACGGGTTGTATGTGTGTGGGTGATAATTATTATTTTATTCTATCTTAGTGCCAGAGGTCAATATGTATTGCACACGAACAGTGAACCGCCATATGCTCAAGGTGACTGGACACGGTGAACGTCAGAAACTTCGGAGAAAAACTATGTCCTGCTGCCCCACCATCACTGTTATTATAATATTCAAATAAACCTAGCAACTCACACGCCACTGAAACACGAAAATAGTTATTATACCATTGCGTTTTTGTTGAATATTTTATCAACTATTGTTTTATTTTTTATTTAAATGTTTAGTCCAAGTCCAAAACGAATACAATGCGATATAATATAATGCAGTTTTGTTTCGTTTCTCTGTTATAAAACATGACATTAATATGGTACTATATAGTGTACTAATGATTGATAATTAATAGAATTTAGGAAATTTCAATGATAAAAATGCGTATCGTTATAAACAATAACAATTTTTGTAAGTTTAAAACAAGGTTCTTCATAAGTTAAATCTACATTTAAAAATGTCGACTATATTATGTAAGGTAGATTTTTTTTTTAAACGTATGTAATTCATAATTTGACTAAAAGCTAAAAGTATGGAAAAAATAAACATTTATTATGTGGTTTTATGAAAAATTGTATTCATTTACTATGAAATATAATATAAAAAGAATATAATTTCTTAACAACGAAACAATACAATTATGCCTTCCACAAAATTGGATGGGCTTCGATTACCGTTTCTATATTGTTAACAGCCATAACTCTTGTAATTTGTATTACTCGTATTATCCTATTACCTTAGATACTAAAGGCTGAATCATAATCGTTGACCGCTGTTGGTGATCTGTGTTAGCGTGTGTACATAGAAAGTGCAGAAGTCGGTTTGTATGAGTAACGTTATAATGTGTGAAAAAAAAAACTTCGTATTCTATAAATATATGAAATAAGTTTATGCTATATTTATGTAAGAATACTTAGGTAGAGGGTGTCATATAGAAAAAATATCATTTGACACTTGCAAAAAATGATAATGATAAAAATTATATAGAAATCCATTTCGTTAATTAAAAATAGCATTATTTAGAGTAGTTATATTATTATGGTGATGGAATAATACGAGTATTATACAAAATCTAATTATTGAAATGCAATAATGTTTCCGTATAACATTATGTAAAATATATTGTTACGAGTTTATTCATGTATTATACGGTATAATTTATGCGACGTGAAATGATGTGGTTTAGATGGAATTTTTATGATGAACAAAAATTTAATTTCACTCGTAAGTCGGGTACGTATTTTAGGTTTGAAATGAAATATAATATGAATATAATAGGTCATGAGACATATTATTATCGTACAGTCATGCCATTAGAATGCAATAGAATAATCTGGGATTCGTAATCTGTAATTTGGTATTTTCAAGTTTAATTAAAATCCGCAGAATTATAGCGAGAGTATAAAACTTCGCCTAAAAACACCAGACCTTAAAAATAAATATTCGTAATGACTGAAGGCATTATTATCTATTCTAAATATACGAATCGCGTATTGAATTCAATTCGTGATGTATTCAATATATGATAACTACGATAAAACGAGTACAATACATCGATTGGAATAATATATTTTAGTTTATTGATGATCTATAATGCTTAGCAAAAGTATTTTCGTTAGAATTTTATAAGGATAAAAATATATCTGCTGTAGATTTTTTTTTTGTTTTTTAATTTTTTACAAGAAAAAATATTTATACAAATTTTTATTTTTTTTTTTTTGTATCTTGTATAAAATCAAAAGACGCATATTTTAGAGTTAGCACTGTTATAAACATAAATAGCTAATATTAGTATGAAATAATCTAGTTATACTGGGCCCAAAGGTTGAAAAATGCTTTACTGCGGTTGCCAGCTAACGATAAAAAAAGCGTCTAAAATTGAAAATAAAAAACAAAAAAAAGACATGCCTATCTCTTTTGATTTCATATAGATCAGTAATTTAGTGTTTGTTATGTTTTAAATTGTTTGCATCGTATAACATGCTATCGATTACGCCTGGCATGGTGTATATCATATAATAATCATTATTATTGGCGTACCGTTACGCGTTGACCGTGCATTGTGTGTATTACGATATTATAATATTGTCTATGCATGATTTACGAGAGTTATTTTAAACCGTTCATTCACATAATTTATTATTACTGTACTATTACTGTTGTACATAATAAATTATTTCCCCCAGCGGTGGCGAACGTCATTCGTATAAATATTTCGGTCACACTAGACTCCATTACATACTGCCGAGTTGTATGCAGGTGGTGCAAGGGTTTTATTATTCGAAAAATAATAATTCTCCCGACAAGAACCACACGAAATTGATTATATTTTTGCATGAGCGAATTCAGTCGACGTCTGAGTATCTCACCTATGAACCGTAAATACTGTAAACAATATAATATTATATAGGTAGGTATAGTGTGTATAGTGTGTATAGTGTGTATAGTGTATACAGTGCGTGAGGACTGAGGAGATTAAAGGCGTTGCGGTGACAAGGACGAGACATTACGAAATGGCTCGTCACGGATAGCATCGATTATGTCACAGTGTACCGGTAGAGTTTTATGGGTAGGATGAGGTCAAAAAATATTACTTTTATCAAAAATAATAAAATATCTCGCATAAAACTGGACGTAATCTATATAAATAATAATAATCTATATTATTATAATGTGTGGTGTTTATAAAAATATATAAACTCACCAAATCGATGAATTTATTGTTTATACAAATTATTCACGTGTACCTATGTATATAATATAAATAGGTATCATACCAATAATTATTATAGATCACGCGATACCAAACATTACAGTCTCTGTGGTCATTATTTCAATCGCAATAGTAATAATTGGTGTCTTAAATATTGCATCTTTCATGTATTAATTATGCGCATATATTGGTTGCATAATAATATGAGAATAACAATATAATATTATGACTGCCAAAAAAATACTTTATTTTTTCAATTAGGTTTTGAATTATTATGACCTGATCGACAAAGTAACAATAATTGATTTTATGAGGTCCACGTCTAAATATTATAAATATAATGTATTCAATAATATCATAATGATATTATTAGTAAAAATAAACTTATATTTTTTGATTGATTAAAGATTTGCAACATCAAGTAGCTAAATTTTTTTTTTTTTGTATTTCGTGTGTGTGATCTACATGATGGACATAATAATATTGCTTTAATATCTATGTGATATGCACATATTATATTTTTTACAGTCATACGCTCGACAGACACCATATATTGATTTAGTTTGATGGAGTTAACAACCGTTTCAATTTCGATGAAAACTAAATTATATGTTAGATGATTGTAATATATACGTTGTGATCGTGAATAATATTTTAAACGTGACCGACGTAATTAATCTTATTTATGATGCAGAATTATAATTATTTGCATTTTACAGATATCGTATTGTATTGTTATGTAATCAATCAATTTTTTTTCGAGAAAAAGCTTTTTAGAAAGAAAAAAAAAGTTAAATTTCTTCAATTAAAAAATTTTTTTTTATTTGGTTAAATTATTAGAGTATACGTATCTGTCAAAGTACAAGTGTTAAAACAAGTACTAATAAAGCGTTATAAGTGTTTTCATAGTAGTACAAAAACTATATTGCGTGCGTATACTGTGTATAGCTCTATATGACAATAATAAGTACCTAGCTCACCCCACAAGTATTAAACTATTATTATTATTTTTTTTTTGTCGTAAAATTTTTAGTTGAAATTCAAAGATTGGGTTTTCGTTCAAAGATAATTCAAAATCAGTTTTTTGTTTATAATATGAAGTGATAAAAGTAATTACTTAAGTTTTTCAGTAATATTATGAACGTAATGAACTTATATGGTGACTTTTTTTAAAAAAGAGAGAGAAATATGAGACTTTAGCCAGAGAATACATTGGTATATTTTTTCTGTCAATATCTTTCTGTTGTAATATGTACAAAAATCTTCTTTAAATATATATCCCTAAGCATTACTCCTATAAAACACTATGTATTATTATTTTTTATCTAAACAATATTTTTTGAATTTTACAGTCATTTTATAGAGCAGATTCTAGTAATTCCATGAATTTATCGACGGAATGTCGCACATGCAGTTTTCCCGTCACACTTGTGAATTATTCGATTACCCTATTATCATAATACAATATAGGTATAACTATAGTAGTTATGTATTACGGTAATCAATGCGTCACAGTGAGTAATTTATAATTTTATCGATTTACAAAACTATAATTTAATGGATGGTCCTCAGTTATATATATGGTTATTCATCAAGAAACAGTAGTATGTACAATATTTCAGAGCTATAATTAAAATTTTCAGATCTGCTTTTGTGTAAAAAAATACATAAATAATTATTATATCTATATCTGACTGTTAATCATTTAAAACCGATGACCAGTGTTTCGGGAAATAGTTTTTTGAAACGTTAAATAATATTAGTCAACAACCTTAAAAGTTTTTTAGATAACTTAGTCTATTATCACAATATAATTGATTATTAAGGTGTTGTTTTGTGGACTACGTATTTCATTATGAATGTACATTGAACTCATAAATTAAAGCAAAGAAAACATTGTATGTATTTGACCGCAAATTAAAAATAATTATTCAACCATAGTTTTTTTTATCATCATTATAATTTTTTTTGTTTTTTTTTTATAAAATTGATAATTACGATTGTAGATGTATTATATTTTATAGAAAAGCGGGCCGTTCATCAACCGTCCAAGTGGTGGAATTTGAACCACAGGAGTTTAGCCAATAGCCACTCCATAACGTTTGAATAAAAAATATCCAAATGAGTTGTATTCAAGTACTATCTAACATTCCGTTTTAAATACCATCAGTAAAAAATATTCGATATCTACCGTAAATGGTATTTTGTTGATAGAATTTTTTTGGCATTTAATAGTTTACTTATATATATATATATATATATATGTATTGCGATTGCTCGATTTGTAGTATGAGGATTCTATAATTATGGAAAAGACGTTCGTCATCATATTTTTAGAATATATTATTGTACTATATTACCATATTGCGACCCGTCCTAGGGATAGGAAGATGTGGTTGGAGTTAAAAGGATCGTATGCAGTACAAGTGCGGGCAACCCGTCGACGCGATAACCCAGCTGGATACTCGCCCGTCGTTGAAAACTTAAGTTTCGAAGCTTGGAGTTCGGCCGAACGATCAGAGGTAATAGAGTGTGTTGACCGCAAGATTAGAGACGGATTAGAATGGATCACACTCCGGTTAAATGGTCGGCATGGTGGCGAGTAGGAGTTTGCGGTGGCGATACCGTGACGGTACCTACGTCGGTCGAACGATGGTGGGTGGGGCGTGTGGAAAAACGACCCGGTAGTGTGACATCTGTGCCGGCGGCGGCGGCCGAACAGTAGTGATACCGGAAATACGCCTCTCATGTTATTATAATTTCACACAGGTCCATCGCGTCGCAGCCAGTATCAGGAAGCGCAGA